TTTTCATCCGAAAAGACGACCTGAATGGAAATTATTCTGCTCTATGGTGATCTACCTTCGCCCAATCTCCCTAGGTTCATCTTTGCAAATCCGAGTCGAGTCTCTCTGTGGCGATCGGTGATTCGTGGCCTCTTCTCCATTGCTTGCCTGGTGATGTTCTCGCATCTTCCCACTGCTCTCCAGACTGTAGTTTTCGACACAGAGAGGTTTAATTCCGATCGGATCTGGTTCAAGGAGGACGTACTGTTGGAAACAGTCCTCAGAATCTTCCGCTCGTCAGGGGCAGTAATCTTTCATGGGGGTCCACAGTCGGTGTTATATCTAAAGACATCAGGGCTCTCCATAAAACTTTGAATGGACCAAGGGGATCTCCCTATTTGCCCTGGAGATCGCTCGAGTACTGAGCACACCTTCATGATGAGCCTTCTCATCAGAGGAAAGCAGATGACCATGAGCCATGTTGACAGTCAGGTTTAGAAATGCATTTGCTACACATGCTTACTTTTACAAGTATCTTCAAACACGAAATTTCCTCTCTTCCATCAATAATTGTTCACTTTTTCAGGGTGACCTTATAATTATGAAACGGAGCAAAAACCGATAAACTGTTCTAAAAAAGTTCAGAAAAATGCAGCTGCGGCTAAAAAACGGATAACTGGGTTATTCGTGCTGGGAAATCCGTTCATGATGTTAGAAAACATCCTTAATGATTGCTTTTCTTGAAAGTGCAAAATTTGAGGGTGGCCTTATAATTATGAAACGCACTGTATAAGAGATAGAGGGTTAGGTGTTCTCAAGTGGCTGGCGATCAGGAATACGATCCTCAGACCATATTTTGGCAGGAGTCAACGAGGAGCAAACCTGGAAAAAAGTGAAGATGTCTCCGATTGACCGGCATCTTTTTTTCACGTTTTGTCGTACGTAAAGGACACACACGAATGTGTGATACATTCGTTCGTTGTACGGCTTCAAGAAAAAAGAAATACGGAGCGTTTCATTATTTTTTCTCTAAGATCTTCTGTTTGAATTCTATTGGTTTTATTTTTGCCGAGCAAAGTGATTTTTGAAGGATTCCTGCTCCACACAGAGGTCGGGCTTATTGTTATGGTGTTGGGAAACTCGGAAATATTGCGCATCAGAAGGTGAGTAATCTGGAACCAATAGCGGAACAGCGGACGTGGAAAATCGAATTTGCATAGTTGTCAGATCACTGGTTTCATAAAATCCATATTTTCTTTGTTAATCGGAACCGCCAACTTCTGATCATAAATGAGTAACTTTTGAAACATATTTTGCTGTGTCATCTCATTCGAAGACCATCTTATTCTTAATGAATATTGCAGATAACAAAATACTGTTCTCAGTAATTCATTTCTTAGTTTACGAGAATCAGATGATGCTAGTGAGAGGTCGCGTCTGCCCTCCCAAAGATTGGTACACGCGAGGTGGCCTTGTTCAATCAGTTTCTACGCCTTTTATAAAGGTTACTGACACGACAAACGGAGACCGCCGACTTAGTTTCAATGAGTTGGAATGTGAAATTTGACCGGAGCAGAAAAAAATTTTGATGCAAGGGCAACCTCATTCGCTTCGTTTATACGCTACACCTCCATTGTATACTTCGAAACCAGAAATCTAATTGTTCAGAAACACAAGAAAGTTTGACAGAATTGAGTTCTTAGTTGCCTCATCCTTATTTATACAAACGGTGTTCCAGGTAATGGAATTGTATAAAGTTGAAACAGTTAACATCGAAAAAATGAGGCTTCTGAACGCTCTTGGGTGTACTCGAGACGTGGCCATTGCGAAAAGGTTCGTTGCTTGCAAATCTTCAAACTGCGACTGCTAGTGAGTATACGATCAGTACAGGGTGCCATAAATATGGTGATTGTGATTCAGAATCCGCATTTAAAATCGATACATGGTGTATTTGAGTGAATTGTTTACCATAGATTGCAGCAGCAGAACGAATGTAAATTCTCTTGACGTGGCCATCTTTTGTACGAACTGTAGTTCAGATACACTGTAGTTTAGATACCCTTCGGATACGCATCTACGGCGGCGCGCGGATTTCTGGGAATTCTTTACAGTTTTACCAATCCGATTTCTGAAAGTAGCGTCTATGGGGTGTTTCGAAGCGCAGACCTCCCTCGTCGGACCATACGTACAGATCCATTGCATTGCATTCGGAGAAATCATAGGACAAGCTCAGCACCAGTATTGAGTCTTCCCCCACTTAGGTATGATATTTTTAGAAAGTCTTAATCGAACCCCAAAATAATTCCTGACCCTAGTGCAATCTTCTTGAGTATGCAAGTGTGACGTGGGCAAAGCAAAAACCGCAAGGTCCCCTTTTTCCCATCTGAGCGCTGTTTGCGGTTGTCTATGGATGGCTGGTTATCACAAAAGCAAACCTTTTCATATCGACGGCCATTTTTCTCATGCTTCGTCTTCGCTCGTCAGCATGCTGATTTCCTTATAATTTTCTCCAGCAGAGGGACCGCAACTGAGAAAGAATGACCGATTCGTGGCTTGTTGCCCATCTGCCCACGCTTCGCGTACGATATGCTACCATGCAAGTAATGTAAAAACAGCAAGCGATGTTATGGAATTACCAATGCGCGCGAAGAAGGAATGCTGGTGAATGAGAACAGGGCGCCATGATCCTACTTACTCTTAAGGGCTTCGCCGTTATGTATGGCTGTCACGAAACCTTAGCTCCTTTCGATCTGCCTGGAGAGACCGGGTCAAGCGTGGGATGGGTGGGCCAATTCTCGGGAAGTATACACCACAGATCACCTTTTCGGAGCCCCGCCAACAGTGGGCGTGGGGTGCCTCGAAATGAGCTGTACTAAGGACCATGTTTTCGAATTTAGTCACAAGAAGGCTTCAAAACTGGAGTGTAACCGTGGCTAGAGGTGTGCATTGGTAAGTTAGATCAAACTAGGGAGACCCACCCTCAATCGGGGGGGGGCTCCGAGGCTCGCCCCGCCCACAATGGGCGGAGCGCGCCTCGAAGCGCACATCGTTTCTTACAAGTCAGCATAATTTCGCCCCCTGGGGAGCCATGAGAAGCTGGGAAAAGATGATAGAAGTCGGAGAAGAAGGGAAGGCTGACTGCAATGGTGGACGCGGCCGGCACAAAAAGGGGTTCCGCCCACAATGGGCGTGGTTTGAACAGAAATTCATAGCACCTGTCCCTGTTCAAATTTGCTAGGATTACAGGAAACAGGATGGAAACAATTATGGTGGATAGCAGAACTCCGCTCACAATGGACGGGGTTCGAAGGGAAGTTCATAGCTCCTGTCCCCGTAGACCTAGACTGTCAAATTTCCTAGGATCACAGGAAACAGAATGGGAACACTTATGGTGGGTAGCAAAACCGGGCTTCACCCACAATTGGTGTGGTTTGAACAGAAATTCATGACACCTCGTTGACCTAGAAAGTTTAAGTTGCTAGGACTACAGGGAACAGGATGAGAACGCTTATGGTGGGTACAGAACCGGGCTTCGTTCACAATGGGTGGGGTTTGTCCGGAAATTGTCATTTTGACCCTAGGGCGTTCAAGTTTGGAAACGATACAGGCGGATGGGAACACTTACGATAGTTGGCAGGACCGAAAAAGATGCCTATGCGTTATGCTACGACGAGATAATCTATTCGAGCTCTGTTAGGTTTCGTACTCTCACTCAGCTAGTCAGCGGATAACTGAGGTCAAGCACAGGAAAAGTAGTTTGAAAACCTCTCGAAGTATAAAATTACCTCAACGCATGAAATTGCTACTATATTAATGGCGCACTCTACATCTATGTATATTTCTTCAATACTTTTTTCGTTTGGAATATTCATTCGCGAATTTAAAATCAAAAATGACATGTCATCAAACTTGATCTTGACTTTTAGGATCTTGAATTCAACTATGATGCATGAAGAATTTCGTAAACAAGATATACCATCAGCATTTTATACTGTCGCAAGAGGCACAACAGAATTTGTTATGGATTTTCTTTTCGAGAAATGGGATGAAATCTATAGGAGGTTGTTATATCTCTTTTTTTTTCAGACTATTATTTTCACATTGCATCTAGTCCTTCTCCATTTCACTTTCCCTCCTCACTTCACTTTATTTTTCATTTTTCATGTAGATCATGCACGAAATATCAAGCTGTACGGGCTTCTACCTCCTAAATAAGGGGTCCATCACAAGAGGATGGAGCGATCACTAAAACCAGAGAGCTCTCCACGCTAATGACATTGCATTGATAGCAAACAGCAGACAAAAATTAGAATACACGCTGCAGAAATGGCAGGGGTATAGGATACCCACCCTAAATGTTCAAAAAAACACGAAAAAAACGCGTTTTTGCGTTTTTTTCGTTTTTTCCCTGTAACTAAGTTGATTTACAATTTTTCTATATAGTGTGCTATATGGTTGGACTCAACTCCTCGAGCTCTATGACATGGTTCATCTAAAATTTTTGAAAGTCCGATTTTGAAGTCCCACTTCCATCAAAGTTCCTGAGGGTACGTCATTAGCAGCGACGTCTGCTATAATTATAACCATAGGACATTCCCTTCTATTAAAACTAGTCTATGATACGTGGAGTAGCTAATATTTTCCGGCATTAGGTGAAAAAAAGATAATGGCATTTCTCAGATCGTCCTGATCACTTCGATACCAGGTTTCTCCAAAATGGATGAATTTGGTGTTGGGCTAAATCCAAACGACAAAGGCTTTTCAAAATGAAGAATAACCAACATGAGTTGATTTCTGGTTTCAGAAAATAGTGTGCATATTCTTCTGAAAAATTAGTTCCCCATAAGTTGAAAATTAGTGCCTTGGGTCAAAAAGAAAAGGCCATATAATCGTTTAAAACCCGGTGCGCGCCATGTTTTTACAAAGACCGTAGGTTTACTTGCTTTTTCAAGTGAAATTTTC